CCTCACATTCACGTTATCTTATCATATACGACGGCGACATATGTCGCAATTTTTTATAAGTGATGGCGGACCGTTTATGTGTGTTCGTTGCCGATTGTAATGCTCTATACACGGACGACAGCGTTGCACTTCAGGATCCGTTTTTAAATGTTCGGGTAATCGATCCCACAGTAGCTCCACATAATTCTCAAATTCGTGTAGAAGAACAATCCTCGGTATGTATTGCAATTGCTCGGCGGTAAAATCGAGAATCCCACGTTTATCCGTTAGAAAGAAAAACATTTTTGAGATAACAACGACTGCTCTTTACAGTAAACTATGCGAATCGAGCGTCTGCTCGATATAAATAGTGCCGAAAAAACTCGCTCGCGTTACATCGCGCACGCGCGTTACACGAGTAAATGCGATTCGTACAATCACGAGTAATAGGAGTGTCGAATCTCGACCGCAAGACGCGACTAATGTCTAATGAAACGGTTGGAGAGATTTATAGACACGGCCCTTTACTACCGAATACAATTCGTTGCATCATCTGTGGACCGTCCAACTGTGGTAAAATGAACGCTTTGATAAGTTTGATAGAAAGTTCACATGGTATACGTTTCGAAAACATGTATTCAAAATTTCTCTTTCAACCGAAGTATCAATATTTAGAAGAACTATTCGAATCGATAAATGGCTACTACGCATTTTCCAATCATCGTCATACCACCGAAGGAGGCACTTTCCAATTCAATATTCATATTCAATGACGTGGCTTATGATAATCAGAATACTACTAGAGAATATTTCTCTATAGGTCGACATACGAACATTGATTGTTTTTACCTCTGTCAGACGTATGCAAAAATATCGAAACATTTGATACGCGCAAATTTTTTTATTCTATTTAAACAAGATGATACCAACTTAAAACACATTTATAACGATTACGTAAACACTAATATGTCGTATGAGAATTTTTGCATGTTGTGCCATCTATGTTGGCAATACAAATACGGTTTTGTGGTAATAGACAAAGATAGCGCATTACGTAACGGTAGATACAGACGAGGATTCAACCATTTCGCTGTAGTGTAAAAGATCGTATAATATTTTTTTCAATGTGAGTGACACGGATAGCGTATTACATAACGATAGGACTTTTCTGTAGTGTTTTGTGAGCAGTACTTCTTTGACGTTACGATAAGATGGACAAGACTAAAAGTATTTCTGAACGGGAGAAAACAGCGATTGATTGCGAAGACACTCGCGTCGATTCATAAGAAACACAGAGTATTGAAGACTGGCATAATGGACAATGAGATCGTTCTGGAGAAACAATTAAAATCTATTATCGAACCGTTGAAACAAATTGCTGGAAACACTGAACGTGGAGGTAAACCATTTGAAACTAAATTTATGGAGAATAAGCAAAAGAATAAACGTAAGCACAGCGATGATGAGGATGATGATGATGATGACGACGACAACGACGACGATGATAATGATGCAATTCCAACACAAATTACTCCCCAGCATCTTCCATGGAACAAACAAATAAAAAAGAAACGATCAAACGTCATGCTTGATTCGTCCATAATTCATTCCACACCAATAAAATCACAACAACAACAACAACAACAATAACAACGACAACAAGTAACTTCTTTTGAACTGCACGAAGAAGTTTTTGAAATCGGTGATGATCCATCGCTTGAAACGTCTGTCAGACAGGTGTTGAGCACACCTCAAGGTCGTTAGAGGTTGCAAAGTCATTTAGGACCGTTAGGACAAGTATATGTGAATACTCTCTTAACTGGTAATAAAGGAAACGAAATCGATCTTATCTATGGTGTTTATTTTGATGAAAACGGTACGATGTTAGGTAAAAAATTCGACGTAGATTCGGACGACACTATAATCATCAAACGACGCTATTTACACCGAGAATGATAAACAAACGTAGAGACATATATTATCACAAATAATCACAGACGTGACCATAACGTCAGAATGCCTATTAAGAGTAACAAGGGACACAAATATAAAAACATTATCGCTCCGCTCTTAGTTAGTCATAAAACCAGTGGCACGAGTATTGGTCCAGGTATACAGACAAATATACCGTCCGCTGCGAGATTGACTGACAATGAAATAGATTACATTCATTGGGGCGATCCCAACGAGTTGGTGAATCGTCTTCAATTGCTCGATGCTTCTCGTCGAGCGGGTAACAATGCTCACAACAACAAAATGTTGTCGATAATCGAAGAACTTCGCGAAGCTGGATTAATTGTAAATTGAATCGTTGTGACGAAAACCGTGATAGTGATCAGGTTCGTGCGAACTCGATATGATGTCTGTGAATAAATTTGGTATGCCTATGAGGAGAGACGATAGCGACGAAATCGAAAAGTCGCGATCGTCGATAGAATCTTTACGAAATTACGTACACGACAGTGGCGTAGAGTTGCGGAGATTCAGGGCTCTGCCTGAATCCGGATCATTACGACGCGAAAGAACGAAAAATAGAACACGTAGCTACGCCGGAGTTCGACACCGATGTGATAAACAAAAGCTACGTCGAACGTACGCTTCGAGATTCGCGAAACGAGATCGAGGAATCATTTAGAACGATAAGGAGAGGTACACAGGAAGTGCGTAGCGATGTGCGAAGAAACGTGGAAGAGAGCGTGACGAGGATGTCTGACAAGATTCAGCATCTGAATCGAGATGTAACTGTACGAATAAAAAATGTAGTGACTAATGAGATGTTAGAGAAATCGTTTAAGACGACAGGGAGAGATATGATCGTACTCGCGCTTCAGGATACGCAGTAAGACATTTCACAATTGCATAACGATATGGAAAAGTGCGTAGCGATATGGAAAAAAAGATATCCGACGCTGTACGAATGAAAAAATGTAGTGGCTAATGAGAAAGGGGACATGTGGAATAGGTATTTAAACACACCTACAGTTATCGCATCTACGGATAGAAAGGTTTAAAAGATATGCTCAAAGCTCGTCCCCTATCATAACAGAGAGAAAGAGAGATGAGTGTCGAGAAACGAAAACTCGTGAAAGAGCTCCATGCACCCGCACGAAGAAATTTTCCACGTCGTCACGTCGTGGCGGTGCACGGTCGCGACGATTTATGGCAAGCCAATGTAATCGAGATGCGTCCTTACGTGCGATTCAATAAAGGTTACAATTACATTTTAACAGTTATCGATGTTTTGAGTAAATACGCATGGACCCTACCATTCAAGAGCAAGAACGGAAGCGATGTAGCTGCAGCGTTATCTAAAATATTTCGAGGACAAACGATACTCACGAAACCTGCAGACGGATCAAGGAAAGGAATTTTACAACACTACCATGCAAAAAAAAATTGTGAAGAGGTACAACATAAATCATTATTTGACGTACTGTAATGAAAGCGTCGGTAGTGCAACGATTCAACCGTACACTCAAGAATAACATGTGGAAAATGTTCACGTTAAACGGCTCGTACAAATGGATCGACGAACTACCGCGTCTATTGTCAGATTATAATCATCGTAAACATCGAACTATTGGAATGCGATCGATAGATGTAACATCCGTCATTGCAAAACGACTCTTGTCGGCAGTATACAGTCACGTAAAAATTACCGCTCCACCGAGATTTTCTACATCGTTAAAACACAACCTACGAATCTTGCAACGTATCTACTGAAAGATTATCAAGGGAAGCCGATAGCTGGTGGATTTTACGAACACGAATTACAACGAGTCTCTAATCCTGACGTTTATCTCGTGGAAAAAATACTACACAAACGAGAAAATAAAGTGTACGTGAAATGGTTATGAATGGACAGTTCACATAATTCTTGGATAGATAAAATGAATATATTGTAAATTTTTTTTTATTATAATAAAAATACATCACACACATTACAAAGGTATTCTATAATGTCCTCAAGGTAGAGTAGCGATCGATTCGGGTATGACGTACCGCTTGTCGTCATACGGACTAAGAGCGAGCTTCAATTCAAACACTGTGTAAACCTCATGCAATATCGATCGTATGCACGACTGATGTCTCGACTGTATCATTACATTGTTCAAACACCGCGCATAATCGTCGAAAGTGATCGTTTTCACGCCTACGTTTTTCTTGACACCCTTTATTCTCTTCGTATCGTTCTTTCCGATCACTCTCAATGCGTACATCTTCGCTCTGAGTCCTATGAATTCCGTCATAATCGCACCGCCGTTTTCATCTTTCATCAAACCGGGTATTTTATTATTAACGCATGGAATATCATACGCATTTTTCTCAGGATAATCGCTCGTGTCGAATCTCGCGATATCACACTTGATGTCCTCGTATACATTCTCACACTCCAGAAGATAAATCAAGCTGTCAGTGTCAGTGTACATAATCTTATATTGTACTTATCGCGATACAACGGTATTATGTACTCGCAGTGAAATTCATATAAACGAAACTTAGATATTTCGAGAATGCACATACCTACGCATATCGGTTTGTTTAATTTTACCTTGAGTTTGCGCAATTCGACAGCAATTAGATTTTCAGAAAAAACACTTCTACTGTGAAAATTCGGTTTTGCTATCATCGCTTCCGCACCGTATCTCCCATTCCAACGAGTTATAAGTCAAACGTCAACATGATCGCGTACGTTCTCCATCGTTTTTCCAAGTACCGCATTATTCATCAATTTGTAAAGATTCTTCTCGAATTCGTTATTCGCGAGCATTCTGAATCTCGTATTAAGTTCGGTATATCCGCGAAGCTATGGAGATTGTGCGAATCGTAATATTCGATGAATTTTTTTCACGTATAGTCCATGCTGAGTGCATTGTTGTAAATTGCGACAGTACACGACATAGCGCTCCTTATTGTAAAGAGTGGCCAGCAGTTTATCATTTCGTTTTCCGAGAGGCCGTTCGCGAGTTTGACAGAATGGAAGGTCAGCATGAGCGCTTTGCGGATACGCAAAATCGACTTCTAGAATATAACCGATAACGGAGTCTGACGATACAGACATTACGTCAAAGCGCTCGATGTCATCGACCCATTAAAATTCTCCGTACGGTAAGGATTCGGACATCACCCAATCGTACAAATTATTCACATCGAAGTACATGAGGTACGTCAAGGGTTCCGAAGGATCGTACGAATGCACTATACTGTTATTAGCTCGCGCGTACCTATATGAACATTGACTTAAACCACCGCATATACCACGTTTCACAAACATCACCATATCGATGTCGGTGAGCAATTCGAATCGAATACCGGTGTATTTCAACATAGCGTCCCACGTATATCCCGGTAAAGTGTAATAATACATCCAATCCGTAACTCTGAATACACGTATCACGAAAATTTTCGAAAACATCTGCTAATAAAAGCACATCTGTCTTGAGATACAAATCGCTGTAATCGCCGAAAGTCTCTATGCAAAAACGTCGCCAAATGTTCGTCGCGTGTTGATAATCGTCGTCGGAAACAGTCTCGTCGGTCAACGAACTGTAAAACAACTCACGCGGTGGTAAATTAGTCTCGTTTAGCTTATCAACGCTGTCGATATACTCGTACGGAAACTCGTCCTTTACGCGTAAGCAGATCAAGATCCTCAGCGTCAAAATTGGGAAATTCCGATCGTATGATTTTCAATTTATTCTTGTGGAGATATGATACCAATTTCTCGAGACTAGTATTGAGAAATTTGAACGAATCCACAAAACGCAGTTTCACACAGTACGTTCCCCACTTAAAGTCCATTGTATCCTTGACATGTTTCGTAAACGATATATAATTTTCTTTCGTTATAGGTAACACATCAACCCTACCTGCAAAACTGTAGTAATATCTTTTATGATAAAATATGCGTCATAACCTGCCAAGTTATGAAAAAATACAGGAATAATGTACGTATCTTGATAATATAAATTACAACGTGAATGCGCAGGACCTCTATAACGTCCGATTAAATGACAGTGATCGCGTACACGCAAATCTCCTTCCTCGAATGGTCTTTCACAGACATGACAGTGAGTCGCGTCTCGAAATTTTTCCCACTCGACGTTTGATGTAAACTCCGCCATAGTCACATTCTTATCAAATATCGTTTTCGCACGATGCGCCAAATCGTATAATTCATTGACAAACCACGATACGCAATCCTCACCGCGATGAGATTTGTATATCGTATAGTTTTATCGTATACACAACGTATATGATATCATACGCTGAAAACCTTGTGATGCTGACAGTTGAATCTCGAAATGTCTTCATCGTTGGTCTTCTTCTCCAGTATACACGCCAAATCGGCATAAACCACAAAAAGAAGTCGCTCCTTCTTATTATGACCATAAAACGATGACTACTTATCGTTCTTGTTCGGAAGAATAATAGCACAATCGTAGCACAGTCAACGATGTGAAGCGACCACTTCTCGCTCGTATAAAAATAATGTACATCTATAAAGTCATACACGTTACACAACTTTCTTATCGCTCTATATACAAAAAAAAACAATTAGTTTACTACCTATTAGTAATACTACCTATTAGTTAGTTACCTATCTATCACACAAATACTTCTTCTTTGTATTCTTCTCAATTGCGAAC